AACAAAGCAGCAGCGCCGCATCTAGTGGCTTCAACTGGATAGGCAAAGAAAAACATTATAATGCTGCAACACTTACATCATCATCGCATCTCGTGCGCCGCTGATAAGGCTGCCTCCTTAACACACACCTAAAATTCGAATGCAACGTTTTTGCATTCGAATGTGGATTTTTATTTTAAATTCGACGAATATTCGAAATTAGAATTTTTTTTTGACAGCCCTAATATATATATATATATATAGAGAGAGAGAGAGAGTGGGAGCGATTTTTATTTTGTTTGTCTATATAATCTTTATTTCACTAATAAGAGTAAAAATGAGAAATGTTGCCGTGGCCAGTAGCTGAAATAAAAATTGTTTTCTGTTTTATTTCAGTTAATGTTGATCTCAACTAAAGTTTTTATTTTTTTTTTATTTTTTTAGTTTCAGTTTGTTAACTGTAATATAAACTGCAATATTAACATTTAAATTGTGGATGTAATAACTTTATGAAAGATTTATTCAAACATACATTAAATATGTAACAGGTTAGTGTAAGAATATAATGAATATATTATAGTGCATATGTTTAACAAAATACTTATCTCTAGAGTTTTCTAGTTAACTAACAATCTATGGACATTGAATGTTTTTCCTGAGGTAAATGTAATGTTACGTGACATTGTTTACAAGCTGATTGAGTGATTACATGAAATAGATTTCAGTCATTTGTACTGTTTGTTTAACAACCTTCTGATGTTCATTCATGTTCATCTCATGATAGAACGTCACTAGCTTGGAGCAATAAGGCTTTTTTTCATAATAATTGGCTGCACAAACAGTATTGAGTTGATTTGTGCTGCATGTGATCTTCAGGCCAGTCCAAGCCCCAGTCCAGTAGGGTACAGTCCAATGACTCCTGGAGCTCCATCTCCAGGAGGCTACAACCCTCACACCCCTGGATCTAACATCGACCAGGCCTCCAATGACTGGGTCACCACAGACATCATGGTGCGTGTGAAAGACACATTCCTGGACGGAGGCGTCATCAATCAGACCGGTGTCATCCGGAGTGTCACCGTGAGTGAAGTTTTGAGTGGTGTTCATTTTGATTTTATCTGAATTTTGGGATCTAGATGTGCTGTGACTTTAAGCAAGAATCTGCAAGTAGAAGCATGTGAGATTTGGATTTGCATATTGCATATCAAGTGCTGAGATGCCCAGGGCTGATTTTAAATTTGGCAATGGATTAAGCTTGTCCCTGTTGTGATTACAATCCATTCAGTTAGATTTTATGAGGATTCATACCCTGTTATTTCCCATATAATTTAACTGTTTCATCCATGGAGAAATTCTTCTTTCACATAGGGCGGGATGTGCTCTGTTTTCCTGCAAGACACAGAGAAGGTCGTTAGTATTTCAAGTGAACACTTGGAGCCTGTTACACCAACCAAAAACAACAAGGTACTGCTGACATCATGAAACCAAATGTGATAGATACTGTTGTGATTTAATTTTCTTAATGTAAGGTCTTAGGTGATCTTGAGGTGTTTATTTTGAACTTTCTCACCATTTTTGGCAAAGAAAACACTTTTTTCTTTTTACTTTTCCATGTGCTATTATTCAACTAATCGCACGTTTTTATTAGTTTAATTAATTAAATCTATACTGTTGGGTGGAAAACCATAATGAGCCTTAATATATAGCCTATTTTCATTCAAGCGCACGCACAGCTTGCCAAAAAGCACCGGCACAGGTAATGATTATGTATTGGGAAGAATAGCAAGGAGATATTATGTTTTATTAATAAACTATTGTTTTCTATGGTGGCCAAGAGAGCTCAACACACTGCAACTTAAAAAAACACATGCAAATAGAAAACGCACCAACAAATTAAGGGAAGATCTTCATCCGTTTGACAACACATGTTACTGCAAATACTCAAAATACAGAAACGTGCAAATACTTGCAACACGACCAAATACAGAAACGTGCTGCAATTAGTAATTTGTGGTTACCATGGTTTAACTATAGTAATCTTTTTTTTGTTTGTTTGTTTTTAAATAGTAAAGCCATGGTTAATTTTCTTAAGGGAACTTGTAAAAGTAAGTTAGTCTGCTTGCATAACGTTACACAGTTACAGTAATTGTGTACTTCATCAGGTTACTTAGGCTAATAATATCCAAAAAAGCTAAGGAATCGTATGATCAGGATGTTAAAATAAACAAATATCTCACCTTTCAGAGAAGATATAGATAAGCATGTCCCAGCCAGGTTTGTCACTTGTTGCCGTTCCCTTAAACATTTCCATTGTTGTCTGTACATATTTGCAGCACATTTCTGTATTTGCTCGCATTGTTAGTATTTGCAGCGCGTGTTGTCAAACTGATAAAGATGTTTTCCTAATTTGCTGGTGTTTTTTTTTTTTTTTTTTTTTTTTGCATATGATTTTTCTTTTGTAGCATGTTGAGCTCTCTCGGCCACCGTAGTTTTCTGACTCTGTCAGCCACAAAGTTGAAGTTGACAATGCTGACTCGCCATCTCCGCAGTACAGTGACGCGCCTTCACAGAGAAATAAATCTTTAATACGGATTACATAATGAGAGTTTTTGTTTTTGATTTGTATTTGTTGATTTTAAAGTAGACATTTTGAGCTTTCTGTAGATATATTTCTCATGCACCTGAAACCGAGACGGCAGAAAGCGTGTCCTGATTGTTTTCTTTATTTTACAAAAGCACAACATCTTGTTGATATTGTGAGAGTATACAAATAAAATAGACCCTTGACCGTTTCGAATGATGTATTACTCTTATCTGTATGAGCAAAAATGGTGCCGTATTTTAAGTAGTTTCACTGTTACCGGGAAAAAATGCCAGTGATCACGCCGGCGCCTTCATGTCATGCATTAGTGCACTAATAGCTTCCACACACTGCAGAAAAACTTGGATATGTGCCTAAAAGCGCACGTTTATCCAGGTTAATGTTAGAGCAAATGGCTTTGTAAAGTTGCAACTGCTTGCATGTTTTAATGATAAGCCATATTTGAGGTGAATGAATGATAGACGAACGTTTGGATTTTCTGTCCGATATACTGTAATTACCTCAAGGACCAGCCGTTAATGATCTGTCCGTCACTGGCACGGACAGTTTTTTTTTTGTGCGACTAACCCACTAATAAAACTTTAGTCGACTAACGTTTATTTGGCCATTACGGGGGAGTCCTACAATCTACTAAATATGTCATGATCCAGTATATACTGTGTACTGCTTATAAATGAACAAAAAACTCCAAAGTATATGTAAAATACTATGCAATATGCGATAATTAACATTTTAGACAATTCTGTGCAACATTACCATCACCTTGTCACATTTAATCCTGCTCATGGAGTGCAGATATGATATGATATAATATAGTTTAAGATAATACAATTTAAAGTTTCCTTATTACAGTGTAATTATACAATTAATTTACATGCTATAGAATGCAATAAAATGTACACAAAACCCCAAACCAAAGCAATCAGTAGTTTATTGTTATTGCTATAATAAATGCATGTAATATTTTGACAAATTATCTAATTTCATATATTAGGGGTGGGGGGGAAATCGATACAGCATAGTATTGCGATATTTTCCGCGGCAATACTGTATCGATACACGGACGCCAAGTATCGATCTTTTATTATACT